AAAAGTTCACTATAGCTCTATAACGAAGTTGAAGTTCAGGACATAAAATTCGTTATATCAAGGGTTGACTGTATATTCTTGTTATCCCGCATTTTTTATTAGAAATATTTTCCTTTTATCATATACTTGATTTCTGATGCTTCATAAAATGGCATGCAAAAACTTTTCAAAAATTACTATTTTCTTATTTATATAAATTTCATTGAATCTATATATTTGATACTAACAACTACCAATTTTTCTCAAATCCTCTATTGGAATTTCTAAAAAACAGTTTATATTGAAGAAAAGATTCCATTTTTCATTTAATATAAAGTTTGCTAATAATATAACAATTGAAGAAGTTGCAAAATATGAAAAGGCAGCTGAAAAAATAAATATTTAAAAAAATATTTGAAGTTGCTGCAAATTTTGAAGAGGTAGCTGAAGCTGCAAAATTTCAAGAATTTGAAAAGAAGTTGTAAAATATAAAGAAGTAGTTGAAGAAACAAAGAAATGTCTGAAATCACCACAAGTTTTGAAGAGGTAGCTGAAGAAGCAGCATATATATTACATTAAAAGTATTATTTTTCTTTATTTTTTTTCTTTTTCATTTTCATCTTTTTCTCTTTTTTTTTTTTTTTTTTCTTCTCCCTTTTCTCCTCCCTTTTCTTTTTTCCTACTTGTAATATCTGCTATATTAAAAAAAAACATAAATTTTATTTGTTATAATTTAAAAAAAATAATATAAAAATAATACTTTTTATACTTTATATATTTTATTAAAAATAGAATGATTATTATCATATGCTTTAATAAAATAGAACGCTTTATTATTATTGTTACTTTGTGCAATAAATTGACTATTACTTCTGACCAATCACTATTAATAATCTATAGATCAACCATAATTATCATAATCAATCACATGACTAAAGATAACATTGCAACTAGGCCTTATTAATCATAACCTGCAACTGCAATTTTATATTTTTATATAGGCCACAACTGTAACTATTTTTGAACATAAGTTAAGAAGTCATTTTTATATATAGCTATTCCTATTAAGCACATAAATTACATAAATTACTTTGCTTTAGAAGTTCCTTAATGGTAAAAATTTTTATTCAGATTTGATTAGTATTTTCAATCAATTATTCTATATAAAAACTTACAACTTTTTTAATTTTTAGTTAAAATATATTATAATAATAAAATTTATTATAAATCTATTATTTTTAAATAAAATTTCATTTTAAAATTAAAATATACAAAATTTTCATATTTTTTATAAAGTTTTTTTTAATAATATAAAAATATGTAAAAATTAAAAATTTTAGCTTTTATAAAGAAAATACTTTTATTAAAAAATTATTCAAAACTTTGATCTTAAATTAATGCAAAAAGTTACTAATTAATGTAAATTTTTTTTTTGATTTTACTTAAAAAATATTATAAATTTTATTATTTGTTTAATAAATAATTTTTAATATATCTAAAATTAACTTCTAAATTTGAAAAGAAAATCATTGAAGGAAAATAATTACGTTTAAGCTTATAAAAGTAATTTGTTTAAAAAAAAATAAAGTATTTTAATACTTATTTTAGATAGAAAACAAAAGATTTTACCATAAGCAATATCTTTTTCTTTAATTTAAAGATATCCAATTATATTATTATAAATATATAAATATAAAAGAAATGATTATAAAATAAAATATAAAGAATTTTTTACAAATTAGAAACTACAAAATTAAGAATTATTCTTGCTGATCATTAAATAACATATTCTAGTGGTTGACAAAAAAATTTGATTTTTTAATTCTCTGTCTTTTGATTATTTAGATATAAAAATAATGTCAGTTACTTCAACAACTTCAGATCCAAAACGTCCCAACTCAATTGTTCCGTACCAGCCCGCTATAAAACAACTTGATGAAATTGACCCCGATCTTTTCGGAACCTTTTCATTAATATTGAGTGAGTCTAGTTAAATATTTTACAACAAAACGCGCGCTTTCATGATTATATTTCTGATCTTTATAACATTAATATTAATATAGGCACTGTAGGTTTAATAGCAAAGGTAGGAGGTAAACTTTATAATATTTTTCACAGAAATTTTTTTATAATAAAATAAATAATTCCCCTTTATTAGATAAAATGGGCAACTTGGGCAGCGTTGATTTTTGCGGTCGTTTCTATAACCAATGAGAAAGCTTCCGACCAGGATCCAAATAACGGACGCACTTCTGCTTTAACTAGTCTTTTGTAAGTATAGTTCTTTACATCATAAATTTTTAGTTATTGGATATATGTCTAATCAAAGAATGTCTTTTTAGGTTTGCCTCGTCTGGATTGGTGATTAATTACATGTACCTTTTTATGGGAATTCCGGGTCCTTTAAATAAACCATGAACATTAGATAAATAGTGTTAATAATAGATAATACTTAATTTAATAGAGTAAACACATTACTCATAATGTGTCCACTTGAAAACTGTACTTTATTATTATACAGAATAACAAGTCTATTCGAGTGTTATAATAAAGAGGTCTATATTTATAAACATTGTATAGATCAGTTAAAATAATATTTTATGTGATATTTATGAAAAGCATTTATCCCAAATTTCATCTAGAAACCAAATCTCAAGCTTTGATATACAACAGCCCGCCTCTACCCATAATACAATAATAATAATAATAAAATATTACAGTCATATTCTTTAATACATATGTGTTCTAAAATATTCTTTTCTCCCAAATATATATGTCTATATATATTGTTTTAAATAAATTCACCCAGATACGGAAGATACAATCTATAAAAAATTTTTATATAGTTAATAAATCAATAATTAGTTAGAATATCCAAAATTATTCTTAAATACCTCATCAGCCTTTTGTAAAGCTTCAATCATCTTCTTGCATTCTTTACGTCTTTGTTGTGTATAATCACTTTCTTTAAGTAATTCATCCAAGACATCTGCTTTGTATAATTCCTGTAATAATTCACGCTGAAGTTCTTCTTTTGCGTGATAAACAAGATTAAGCATGACAGCTTTTGGTACCATGTCGACAAGAGTTTTCTTCACAATATTGAAATATGATTGAATAAGTAATTCTAAAATAAAATAAATTAAAGTGATATAAATAAATTATTTATGAATAATCAAAACATTCTATCTAGCATATAAAATATTAATTACTGATCACTTCTGTCTCCACAATTTCACGATCAGAAAGGTTTCCAGAAGCTTTAAGAACCGGCGGCGGCTAAAGAACGAAAAAAAGGTTTACAATTATTTTTGGAATTTTACTGTAATAAATAATTTGATACGATTTATTCATACCGCTTCCATAACACCTGGCTTTTTCTTTTTACTTGCAGTAAAGAAACTTCCAAAGAATCCTGTGTTTGTAGGCTCAGGTTCGCTTAATGGATTTGTAAGATTATTCAAAGTACTTCGGCCCTTATTGTCAACAGGAATTGGTGGGTTCAATTTATCGTTAATAATCGTCATGGCTCGATGACCATTTATAAAGTCAGGATGCCCAGTGTTTATATAACATGTTTCCATACTATTAATAAATTATAATCATTAATTCGTAAATAATAGAATGGTGGAATTATGATACATCATAATGTTTAAAGAACTCACGATACAAGGTCCGTGACAAGCTTATTTGTTGGTGTCATTGCTTTTTTAAAAAAATTAACTACAACAGAAGAAAACTTCTCCTTTAGACCCGGGAATCGCTTGTATATCTATATTGTAAACATTAGAATTAGTAAATGATAATAAAATATTACACACGTGCATGTATAAACTGTACAAAGTGATATATAAAATCAAATTATTTACAGGTTTCTGCAGTAGTTGAGACAAAATACGGACTAATTCGTCATAAACTAACGTTATACATTTCAAACTCGGTTCTTCAAGTCGTCTTATTTGTTGTTTAATTATGACTTCGAATGCAGTTGTTGCAACAAAAAGAGCTGGAGATGAACCCTATTTACGGAAGTTAAAATATTGTTATAAAATAAGATTGTACACTAATAAAATAAATCATTCAATTTACCGATGAATTATAGAGAATTGTCCTAATATCAACATCTTTCACTTGATCAAAGGGGTCTATTGATTTCACACCATTTGAATAAACTTCATGGAAGACAAAGCTTATACGTGCACCACCTGATAACTCAAATGAAGATAATTCATTGGAATTTCCATCAAGAATAGTACGAAATTCAGAACAAAATTCAGTGATAATATTAAGAACAAGGTTGGCATGATTATGACCACCATCGTCTATAGGATCACCAAGCGATAACAATTCAGATTGATATTTCGCCAATACTCCTTGAATTTTAGATTTGATTTCAGGAAGTGTATTACGAATATGATGCATAAGTATCTAAATCAAGGAATGAATATTAGAATGAAATAAATTAATATCCAGAAAAATAGTTGAAAAAACAATTACCATATTCAATTTACGAGCAAGGTATGGTGTACCACAATATTGTGCCTTACTCTTATACGAAGGATGATTCTCAAAGAATTGACGTTCATTTTCCAAAGCCGCTGAAATGGCTTTTTTGGTGTCGATATCCTTTTGACCACGGTTCACAACAGGTACATAACCTATATATATTTATTTATATTATATAGCGATAGTTGATAAATTTCATGAATATGATAGTAAGACTTTCTTACCGAGTCGTAAAGGAATTATACGTCCAGCCAAAATGTCTACAACATCTGTTCCTTGATCCCTAGTTAGATGGAAAATAAATAAATAAAAATCTTTAGAGAAAGCTAAAACACATCAAGCAAAAATATGAATCATGACTTGAACTCACATAAGATCTATTTTTGTAAGAACACCAACAGTCCGTGATCCTAAATTATAATGAATAAAAAATTAACATAAGAAAAATAAGATTTTTAATATCGTAACGTTAAATACCTTCGGGATCAACTTCACGAGCCATTTTCAACCCATCAGAATTCGCTAAATCAGAGTTGGCTGCTGTAACTGCCAGAATAATAGCATTTGGCTTAGTAATATACTTCAATATCATTTCACGAATTTGTTTTTCGATATCTTTTGGTTGGTCTCCAACAGGAACCTAACAATTAAATATTTAATGAAAAGCAACATTTAACTACGGAATATTGAACGACAGCAATTACGATCAGATGTTTTAATTGTACCTTTGTAAGACCGGGCAGGTCAACAAGTGTTAATGTTAGTACATTGGGGGAATATACCCTTAAATTAATAGGTGATGGAGAAATCCCTATATGTGAACGAATAAAATATATAATATATTATTAAAACGCGTTAATTAAAGTATTATAAAAATTATCAGAGTTAGAAACTAACCAGCATTTTTTCCTGTTTTCAATTCAGTATCTTTTACAATTTCTTCCCGAATTTTATTGAAATCATAAAATTTTTGGCCAGGAATGTGTAAAAATTCGCCCCACTCGTCTGGTTCTTTATCTGACTTATCAGGGCTTACATTATTCGATGAATCTATTAAGAAATCGAAATTCATTAATTATCTAATAACTAGGCAAATAAAGATGGAAAATAAATTAATAAAATATTCACCTGGTGGAGTCTTATTTGCACTATTTGGTTTAGGAACCTCAGGCTGCGGACGGTTGATAAGTTGTAAGACCTTAAAGAGTTAATAACAATTGACCGTTAATCGATGATCAGAAAACCAAATTTGAACTTATAAATTCAATGATATAAATTCTTTATCTGAATTATTAAATCGTTGAAATGACTCACCAAAGGTCTTCGAGTAACGATTCCCGTTCCTCTAGGTAAAAAGTCACGACCAACGATATTTTCTAAAACGGAACTTTTACCACTTGACTGTGAGCCAATAACCACAATCTGTGGCAAATCCACCGGGTTCTGAACACCAACAGTAGCAAAAGCGTCCTGAAGTTTATTGACTGTACCAGAGTCAATAAGATTTTGTCATTACAAACAGCATTTTACAGTAGCATTACAGCTTAAAATACCTGTCTTAATTAAATTAGCATCCATCAAGGGTGTCTACAAATTATGGAGTATCTTTTTATATATATTAAAAAATGGGAACAAGTAGCTTACTTTTCAGGAGATCAAATGTAATGCGTATTTTACAGTAAAACTTATATCTGCTTTTCTTTATGTAACAAATATTTGATATATTGACGCCAAAACGCAATAACTGCGGATTTCAGATTTCAAGGATTGTGAAACATCAGCCACATGTGAAGATTATACCAATTGATCACGAGATGAAAACGGTAATTTTTTTTTGTCTTTAAAATAAAAACCTGTACTATGTAAATTCTTTCTAAATGTATTTTCCAAATTTATATAATCTTTAAATCTAATGCGTACCTCTCTAAATGCACAATTTTGTAATTTTGTTTATTATCCTAAAAGGGGATGAATCATATATATAAGTATTAGAATATGATATCATATGGTTTATATGAATTATATAATTGATAAAAAGTATCATTTGAAACTTACATTGTTACAGTATAAAATTTAACTTTAATCATTATAAATTTTTCAGAAATTTAAATTTTATATATTTAATACAGTAAGTCCTTTCTAAATGCATGCATTATATATGTTTCTTTAAATTCATATTTCATATAGCTTCAAATATATAAAGATCATATAAATTTTTTCTTTTTAAATACATACCTCTTTAAATGCATAATTGTCCTAAGGCAGTATTAGGTAATTAAACAAATTTGGACAGTTTTAAACAAGCTTTAGACATAATTTCATATGTTCAAAACCTTATCCAAAATATTTAAAATTAAAAAATGTATTCAAAATACATCATTGTTATAAAGGGTAATATATTTAGAAAGGGTTTAATATATTATATAAAAATTATTATATATATAAAATAGTTTTATTAGATAAAAGAATAGTAAATATATTTTTTAATAATATATTTTAACATGCATTTTTTTATTATTTATTAATATTTTATATAATCTTTTTTTATATTAATAAATATTATAATTTAATATATTATATTGTTAATATATTAAAATAATATACAGTTATTAATATGTAATAATAAAAAATATTACAAAAGATATTTTATTTTGGTTATAAATTTTTTTAAAATTTATTAAATATCTTACATATATTTATATATATTATTATTTTTATTAAAAAATACTTTATAATTATATAATACATCAATAATATTATATAAATAATTTTTATTATTTAAAAAATTTTTTTTTTAAAATAATAAATATATAATTAAAATTTTAAAATTATGATACAGTAGCATGTAAAAGAAAAGTAATCAGATGAGCTTGAAGTACCTTTTTTAGGAATAAGATCATGAAACCTTCATCAGAACTTTTGTCTACTCTTTCATATAAATAGTAATAATATGTTTATAAAGAAAATTTTTAATATCATTCTTTAATTCTCGCTTTTCAGTATTAATAGATTTATATATGAAAAGTAACTGACTAGAAATATTAAAAAATATATTAAAAGATTCCAATAATGATAAGTTATATAATAGACAATTATGTATATATTAAAGAATGTTAGGATTAAATTCCTTATATTTTTCAAATAATAGCAATACTAATTAATAACTTCATTTATACATAAATTTTAGAAATTTACATTCTGAAATTACATTTGTTATTTGAGATCAGACATCCTGTTCATAAGCAATCTGCTCTAAATTTAAGGCTTTAAATAAATACAAATAAATTCAAATTTAGAATGTAATTTTGTTATATGATTATTTTTGATTAACTTATAAATAATCAATCCAATGATATAAGAGAATTTTGATTTTTTTTTGATTCTATGATTTTTTCAGATACTAAATGATAATTTATTGAAAATTGATCATTCAAATTATTATTTTTTTAATATAAACATAATTACTTTTTTAAAAAGTAAATATACAATAAGACTTTAAGTTGAAGAATTATTTGAATTAGTTATATCAATAAAATCTTGATACCAAATTCCTGAGTATTGATAGTTATTAAGACAAATTTCAAGATAAAAATTCCAATTAAATAATTTTTTTTTTCAAAATTGCTTTAAAAGTTATTTTTTAATAATATTTTGTCATTTTTATAATAATTATCAATAAAATCCTGATAAAAAATGACTTTTATAAGATCTTGTTATTATTCTTAAAGTTAAAAAATTCTATAATTTTCTTATCAATATTTTTATTGTTTGATTCTGATGAAACCTTAATTTTTCTATAATTAAATTATCAGCAAAAATGCTTTCAAATATATCATGAGAAAGAAAGGATAATTGTTCTAAGTGAGTAAAATGTTTTTAATTTATATAGTTATTTTTTCATTATTTTTTGATTTGTTTTTATCTTTTTGGTAATCTTTATTAATTGTAAAAATATTTTATATAAATCTAATATTTTATATATAAATAATATATACCTTTTTGCTAAAGTAGTAATACCAGTTTTAGTACTATCTGTTTCACTATAATTAAAACTTTTTAACTAATCTTGAATTTGATATTTGTTTAAGGCATGTCTATAGAATTTAAGTGTTTGTGTAGAAGAATCTCCATTAATTTACAAATTGTACTAAAAAATCCTTTAAGCATATTTTAGAAAATACGTCTTAGTTAAATTATTAAAGATATACTTCATTTATACTATCTGATACAATTATTTAAATAACTTGTGTAGGTTGATCATTACTTTACTAAACCCTTTCTTTTAATATTTTGATTTTTTTAATAACTTTGACTCAGCTAGCTTCTGCAACGTAGTTATATTCAGAAGTTTTTACAAAATAATGTTAGTCTTCAGTAAATATAGTAGCTGCTCGTCAAATGTACTTTAAAATATCTCACTTTTCATATTACCAATAATATTTATGATCTTTATTTCTATTTTTAAGCATTAAGTATAAAGATAAACATCATAATTAAGAAGTTGCAACTCGGTAAGTTACAACTCCTTGTAAATTTATTTTAATATAATAATTCATAAACAGTTGCAACTAGTTAAAAATTTAAAAATAATTATGGGAACTATTTTTAATCAAGTAATTATAAACATTAATTTTTTCTTTATTATGAATTGAACAAACAATTTTACAGATATATATTATGAAAAGAGATAATATGTTTTATTTTTGTGATATAACAAAAGGACAAGAACAAAAAACATTTTTTTGAAAAACTTTAATCAATATTAGTTAGCATTTTGCAATATAAATTTCTATTCATATCTCGAACAATACATACTATTTATATAAATATATTATCACTGGAAATAATTCTCTTTGTATCACATGTATTTTGCTAAGTTACTTTACTGCGGTAAGTAAATTCCTTATTATCAGACTTTATAACCTTAGGGAATCTCACATCCTACAGGTATCCAGAATGCTTTGGAATTACTTTACTTGACTTTACAAACTTAAAGGTTTAGAGACTTAGAAAAAAATGTAGAAAATTTATTTATTCTAAGTGACGAACTCAAAAGCAAGTTAGTGTAGTGTAGTTCACAATCAAATCCTAGACGATAGATATATAAAAGGAAAAAGTAATTATTTTTTAAAGTTAATTTCTTTATTTATTACTTAAACTTGTAATAAAACTAAAACTTGCAAATGAGTTATAAAAACTTGCAAGAGAATTCATTTACAACTTAAGCAAAAATTAATTTGCTACAGCTAATTAATTACTATGCTATAAATTAACTAAATTTGTAGCTACTGTGAACGAATAAAATATGATAGGATCTACATGACACAGATAATTGACAAATCTGACAAATCTGACATTTCTAACATTTTTAACATGTCTGATATATATGATATATCTGATATGATCGACAAATAAGATATATTAAACAGATTCAACATATATGACATATTTGACATATTTGACATATACAATATATGGGATAAGTGCTAGGAAAGGGACCAAATTGACAAAAAAATTTTTTTGAAATAACAAATGATCTAAATCAGATGACTAAATCTACATCTATTTTACTTAGAAACTTTTTTTAAAAAAAAAATCAATTTGGTCCATTTTCCCAGTACTCACCCCATATTAGATATATTAGTTATATCTTTCTATATACTGTATTTTATATAAATAGATAGCTTTTTAGATCATGTAAAAAGTAGGATTTGACAAGTCAGTTTTCCAAAAGGCAAACAAGCCTATCGTATTACACTTTAGTTTAATACTTCGTTTCTTTATTTTCTTTTTTTTTCTCTTGTCATATCTTTTATTCTCTTTATTTCTATTTTCTATTTTATTAATAAACATCTTACTTGAAAATTTAATTACTCAATACCTTTTGAATTGTTAATCATGAAACTTTCGTATAAACCTTTCTACTTGAATTTAGTTGTAATAAGTATATATCTGTAAAGCATTGAGATTACTATGCAATTAAAAAGAAATAACACTCTGATACCCTTTCTAACAGTTGTAATTCGCAAGAATTACACATTAACATTACAAGTGGTAATATAATGATAATAATAATAATAACAGATATAATAACTATAATAAAAATAATAAAAATAATTAAAATAATAGAAATAAACATTATAATAATTATCCAACTTATAAGGCTTATCAGATGAATCTTAAGAATTCTCAACTTTTCAATAGTGAATTTTTAGCTGGTAATAATATAATCACTAAATTGAAAATTTCTTATTTTTTTTTTGTTATAATTAAAAATTTTTTTTTTAAAATATAAAGTTATATTTATTTTATTTATTTATTAATGATTAATTTATAAAATAAAATTTTATAAAAAAATAAACTTCAGAATAATTTGTATTAATGAAATAATACTGGTAATAAAACTTTTTTTGGTATTGGTGAAATAATCGTTGTTAAAATAATTGTTAGTAAAACATTTGTTGGTAAAATGAATATATCAGTGAAATGATCATATTGGAAGAAATGACTGTCAATAAAAGGTTGTTGGCAAAATAAACTTGTCTGTGAAATATTTATTGGTGAAATAATAATTAGTG